GGTGTAAAATCATAAGTATGAAAATAGGGAATTGGAAGTTCGTAGATAGTTTGTGCTTCTTGCCTATGCCTCTTGCGGCTATGCCAAAAAGTTTTGGTTTTGAGGAGCTCAAAAAGGGCCACTTCCCCTTCCTTGCAGGGCCTGACTTCTACAACTATGAGGGCCCCCTTCTCGACCGTGAGCTGTACTGTGCCTCTGGGATGAAAAGTAAAGCCGCAGCGGAGTTTAATCGCTGGTATGATGAACAGGTCTCCAACAACTACCTGTTTAACTATAAAAAGGACCCCGCAGCTACTGTATCAGTGACGTGACTATACTGCGGCAGGCCTGTCAGGCCTTCCGTAAACTTTTCCAACAGCATGCAGGTTTTGACCCTATGGTGCATTGTGTCACTTTAAGCAGCGCCTGTATGGCTGCTTTTCGAAGGAACTTTTTGAAAAAAGACACTATAGGCATTGCTCCCTCATCGGGGTATCATGGAATGGGAAAACAGAGTGAGATCGCTTTAAAATGGCTTGATTTTGAATCACACAAAATAGGAAAGGTCATTAAAACAATCTACACAGACCGCGAAGTTTCAGTCATGGGGAGACGGGTAGATGGTTATGTTGAGGTCCCTAAGAGGAACGGGAGTGTAGAGAAACGCATCTACCAATTCCATGGGTGCTACTGGCATCAGTGCCCCATTCACTTTCCACCTAGTCCAGAATGTGGAGAGAATCGACTTGAACAGACCAGAAGGCTAACTGAAATCTTTCAGTTGGCAGGGTACAAAGTAATTGAAAAATGGGAATGCCAGTTCAAAGCAGATCTTAAAAATAATCCTGACACTCAAGCATACTTCAATGCGCACCCCACCACCAGAGTACCTCCACTGAACCTACGTGACACACTCGCGGGTGGGCGCACAAGTGCTTTGAGATGGTACTACAAAGCAGACACCGAAAACGGTGAGAAAATAAAATTGGTCGACGTCGTCTCTGAGTACCCCGGCTGCAATTTGAGAGGAAAGTACCCAATCTCACATCCTCGTATTTTCCGTGAAGGGGACCCTGAAATGCCTACAGTTGACCAGTGGAACGGGTTAGTAAAATGCACTGTCTTGCCACCGCGAGACTTGTTCTTACCTGTCTTATGGGTTAAAGCACATGGCAAACTATTGTTCCCGTTGTGTCGCACCTGTGTGGAGACACAGAACATGGAGGTCTGCCGCCATGACGACCCTAACTTGCGCCAACTGACGGGGAGCTGGTGTTCTCCAGAACTTCAACTTGCCATCCTTGAAAAGGGGTATGAGCTCAAGGCTGTTCATGAGGTGTTGCAATACCCTGCATCGATGCAGTTTGACCCTGAAACAGGTACAGACGGGCTCCTCTCTGCGTACGTGCGATGTTTCATGGCGCTGAAAATAGAAGCCAGTGGTTGGCCGCCTCATTGTGAGTCAGACGAGCAAAAAAAGGAGTTTGTCGCAGATGTGTTGAAACGTGATGGCATTGTCATCAACCCTGACAATATGATCTATAGGCCAGCTCTACGAGTTTTAAGTAAGCTCATTTTAAATAGCTTTTGGGGGAAATTCGGTGAACGTACGTTACGCCCAAAGACAGAACTCATATATGACTATGCAGACTTAATGAAAATTGTTTCAGACCCCACAAAAGAGGTCAGGGCCCTTGTTCCACTGGGAGATGACTGTTTGCAGGTAAATTGGATGCCTGTAGAGGATAGTGAGGAGTCTCTCCCCACCTCTTCTCTCGTACATGCTGCATTCACCACCTGTTTAGGACGGATGCAACTTTACAAATACCTTGATCTCGTGGGAAAGAGAGCACTTTACCACGATACGGACAGCGTATGTTATATAAGCCGTCCTGGTGAACTTGATCTGCCACTTGGGACACATTTAGGTGACTTAACTGACCAAGTAGAGGAGGAGTTGGGTCCTGGGTCATTCATTACAGAAATAGTCTGCGGGGGACCTAAAAACTATGCTTTTAAAGCAGCCAAGGGTGGTGATACAAACAACATTCATGTCACTATTAAGGTGAGAGGGATCAGCATAAATAAGTCATGTGATGACTTGGTCACCTTCGAAAACCTGAAAGCAATGGTCATGGGGGAGAAAACCAACGTCACTGTCCCTATACCACGTCAGATAGCAAGGCTTACCTCCTGGAAAATCGTCACACGACGAACACGTAAAAACTGGAATGCGCACAACACAAAACGACGCCGTGTGGGCGTTGAACGCACTGTACCTATAGGCTACAATGCATGGGGCGCAGACGAAGATGAAGAGCTCTGTGAAATAATGGATGAACTGCAGCATTCTTAATTTAGTTCACAACAGACACTTGCGCAAGGGAGGAGCAGGCTGGCCCTATAAAAGAGAGACAGACACACCATGAGTCATCAGTCTTGACGATGGAGTTGAGGTTTCAACACCCCTGTACGGCCCTAGTGGTCGGAGGGACGGGGAGTGGGAAAACCCATTTCACAAAACGTTTAATTGAGAACAGAGATGACATGTTTAATGTTACATTT